AGGTCTTTTGTTTCTCTGGTTACATTTATTCCAAGGTATTTCATCCTTTGGGTGGCTATTGTAAATGGGATTGCTTTTCTAATGTCCTTTTCAATGCTGTCATTTTTGGTATAGAGGAATCCAACTGATTTTTGTATGTTAATCTTATACCCTGCCACTTTGCTAAATCTTCCAAACAAGATATTCTTGAAGAAGATAATTGGCAAAGACGGAGCAGAAGTAGATAGGAAGAAAGAAAACAAGAAGTTGATAAAGTAACGGTGAAAGCTTCTACTTATACCCCAGGCTAGAGTCCTATTTGTGAAAGGAGACTGCGGAGACATAAACTCAGTGCTACAGACATATTGTGTGTCAGCACTCAAAGCCAGGAAGTTCCACCTGTGTCCTTTAGGAACTCACTCCTAACATCAGTTCTTCCCCAGGAGAAAGGACAAAATGGTCTCAGTTGTATGCAGGTGAGTCCATCTTGGACTTTGTATCAGAACCTATTTTTACTAATGATACTAAAAATCCAGAGCCAAGTCGTAGATGGAGAAATATAGATGGACTCTAGAACACCAAGTTCTGACCACTAACTCTGTTATACTGCCTGAGTTGGCGGTTCTACTCTAGTATAGGGATAGGGCAGAATCAGTCCAGACATCAATGTTATACAAATATCATGAGATCGAAGAAAACCGCTTGTTCACTGATCTGGGTTGTTGTTGTTGTTGTTGTTAGGCACTGACTCAGTCGGTACTGACTCATAGCAACCCTATGTACAACAGAATGAAACACTACCTAGGTTGGATGTCCCTAAAGAATGAGATTCTCCAACTAGTTCCTTACCCTTTGTCAGTATTTGTCCAGAAGTAATATGTAGCATCCTAGCTTTGAAATTGGATAGGCCTAAATTTGGATCCTGGTGTGTTACTTACTAGTTCTGTAATTCAGGCAAGTCACTAACAGTATACAATACATGTATGCATTTATCTTTATCTAACATACCTGAATAATACAAATATAGAACATGCTCAGTGGTAACCAAAAGGTTGGAAATAAATATCAGCTCAGAGGCATGACAGAAGAAAGGCCTAACAACTCAGCTCTAAGCTCAGGGTCATTAGCCATTGTTGTTAAA